CGTTCTTGCAGTCACCAGGGGTGCGGTCCTGGCGCCATCCTTGACTCCTTGCCCAGCCTCGCCCCACCCCCGGCCAGTCGTTTGCCAGATATCTCTCCTCTAATCCACCCTCCTTGTGGCTGCCCAAGCGATAGTCATGAAATGCAGGTGTGACCACTGGACTTTGCAAAGCGGAGCCGTCTCAAACTCAGCTGGTCACAGACTGAGCTCCTTCGCTATCTCCCCACACCCGTCCCTCTCCTAGACGTGGCTGTTTGGGCTGAGGACGCCGCCGCACTGCCCCGTCAGCCTCGATCTCGATGGTGTTCTCAGCGCCTCCCTCAAGGCCTCCCCTCCCCCTCCGGTCACTTCCCCTGGCCTGGTTTTCTGTCTACACCATCTCTTCACACATCGTCTTCTTTCCATTCGCGAGGCCACCGCTGTACTTGAGGCCCTCCTCACCTTGGCCTGAACCTTCTCCATAGCTTCCTGACTGGTCTTCCAGCCTCTTCTCTCTCCACTCCAGTCCATGCTTCACTCAGCTGCTAACATCCCCTTAGGTTAAAATACAGCCTGCGGTGGCTTTCAAGGCCTTTCACATCCTGTCTGCAGCAGAGCTGTCCTGTCTCGTTAGTTATTTCTCTTCCCGCCCTGCACGGCCCGACAAGGCTGGCTTTCTTGTTCCTCACATGCAGCTCTTCAGCTCCCATCCCAAAGGCAGCTTAGTGGCGCGCTGCATACAACGCTGGGCCTGGAGTCTAGAAGACCCGAGTTCAAATCCAGACCCTGGGGAAGTCACTTTACCTCTGTCTTCCTCAGTTACCTCAGCCACAAAATGGGGATAATGATGGCCAGGGTTGTTGGGAGGACCAGATGAGATCTTGCTTACAAAGTACCTAGCCCAGTGCCTGGCACACAATAAACACTTATAGACAAATGCTTATTCCAGTTCGCCTTCTCTGCACCTTTGCCCTGGCTGTTCCTTTCTCAGTTGTGTCTTTTAGAACCCCTTGTTTCCTTTCACACTCGCCTCCCTGGCCATCCTCTGCAGGGTGCCTTCCCTGAGCCTGCCGGAGGCTGCTCCCTCTGCCCCTTCCCCACGGTGGCGGTGCTGGTGCCCTGATGGCCCTGGAGCTACCCAGGGGGTCCCCCTGCTTGCTTACAGCAGAGCTGCTTTCACCCTTTTGCATCTGGCTTTCGTAGGATGATGCTGACAATAGTTAGCAGGCAGATAGCTCTTTGAGGTTTGCAAAGCACTTTACAAATACTGTCTCACTGGATCCCTGAACTTAAGGATAAAACGAGACAATGTTTGTAAAGCACTTAGCTTCGTATTTGGCACATAGTAGGTGCTTAATATTTCCTCCCTCCCTCCCCTCCTCTCTTCTTCCTTCTTCCCTCCCTTCTTCCTTCCTTCACTTCCTTCCTTATTTCTTTTTTCCTCCCTTCCTCTCTCCCCCTCCCTCCCTTCCTTTCTTCCTCCCTCCCTTCTTTCCTCCCTCCCTCCCTCCTTCCTTCTTTCTATAAGGTAGGTGCTATTATTAACCCCATTTTATAGACAAAGAAACTGAGAGTGGAAGACATTAAGTGACTTGATAGAGAGTGTCAGAGGTCAGATTTGGCACCGGTTCTTTCTGACTCTGTCCACTGTGCCACCCAGCTCTACCCAGTCTTTGTATCTCCATTACTTGGCACGGTGGCTGGCACAAGGTATGCGATAAATAAATGTTTGTTGATTGACATACTGACCACATCATGGTATTGACCTGGCTTAGGAGAGCCCCGCGGCTCCCTGTCCCTCCCGTGTGGGCATGGGGAGCCCTTTCCAGCGCGGCTCGTCTTTTGTGCTTCTCCTCTTCAGGTCCTCTTCAGCCTGGCCTGGCTGGCACCTTGCCGTTCCACAAACACAGCAATCTTTTGTCTCCTCTCCATCTGCCCCCTTCTCATCTTCACCCCTGAGAACCCGGCCAGAGGACCACCTTCTACACGAGCCTTTCCTGAAATCACTTGATATTTACTTTTTATATATTTCTGCGCATACACAAGCGCGCCGGTTCCTTCAGAGCTGCTCCTTGGTTTCCCCCTCATCTGGTGAGCACCGCGCAGGGGCCTGAGCTAGTGGTGGGTCTGGGGGAAAGGGCAGGGCAGGAGAGAAGGAGGAGAACTTTGGGAGAGATGGCTGCCGGCCGGGATTTTCTCTGGCGTGGCGTCTGTTGCTTGTGGGAGCCTGATGCTTCCCACAGTGCCTTGCACAGATGAGGCACTCAGTCGCTCTTCCTCCAGATGATTAAAAAATCTCAGTTTGATTGGAGCAGGGGCCGTGGCCAGGCACAGACAGCTTGTTGGAGAAGGACCGGGTGAGACCTTTTGAGCTGTGCAGGCACGAGATCCGAGATGTCGGCTCGCGGGGCTCTCGTCCGGTAGGCCGGTGGCCACACCTCAGCTCTCCGGAGCAAGCGGCAGTCTCCCTTCTGGCCACCAGAGGGCACTCAGCCTGCAAACACCTGGGCTGGTCGGTTCTTGAGGGCCCATTTGGCATCTTTCTGTGGGGGAGCCGGGCCTCTGAAAGCCCACAATGGCCAGCTGTAGAATTGGACCCAGGGGTGATATGGGATCAGGCTCAGACACCCGACCTAGGAAACCCAGGGTCCCCATGCCCACCCCTCATTTTCCCAGGGCCCAGGCCCTCAGCCTACCTGCGGGTCCAGCCAGCCTCACACAGAGCACGAGAAAGCCTGAGGCTCCCACCTGGGGGCTTCTGACCCTCCCTTTCCCTCAGCTGCTTCTGTTCCTGCAGCTTGGAGGAAGGGATGAGGGGGAGGCCAGGGGTGTCTGAGAGCACCCCGCAGTCCAGGAGGATGCCCAGGGGAAGTGTGGGGCGTAAGAGCTCGCTTCCCTGCTTACCATCTGATGGAGTTTTCTCAGCTCTCAGTCTCGTCTGTGTGGGCTAATCTCCACTCTGCGGATCTCTCAGCGTGCGCTCAGCTCCTCCTCTCAAGGCTCTGGCCGTTGGCAGGCAGAGTCCCGGGCCCCAGCCGCAGCAGCAGGAACCAGAAGCTGCCGCAGCCCAGTAGCAGCCCACCTGGCAGACCAGAAGGCTCTCTCAGGGGCACGCCGATGGGAAAAGGATGCCAGATTGCTGGGCTCAGTCCCAGCTCTCCCAACCCTTTGGGAGCATTAACCGCTAGACTCATTGGGAGGAGAAAATGATAACCGTCAGACACTGGTTGCCGAGGGATTATCAAGACCGTCCCCTGGACTCTGGGGAAAAACGTAATCATTCAGATAGACGAGAGGACAGTGGCCTGGGCAGAGGTTACAGTAGAAAAGACTTCCCTGGATAAGTCTGTGTGTTTAATATGCAAACACACATACATATACCTATGTACATGCATATGTATATATACACACATATATATTCCTCTTTCTCCATATATATATATATATATATGTGGTTCCTTCTCCTTTCCCCTTTTCTTCCTCCTTCCCTCCCTCTGTCCCTCCCTCCCTCCCTTGTCTTTGCCAAGGCAAACAGACATACACACGTGATCTCCTTCCATCCTGTCTTCTCCAGCAGATCACTCCCTCTCTCCTCCTCGCCTTCCGCTTGTCTTTGATCTCTCCTTGTCTGCTGGCGTCTGTCCTGTTATACTGTGTTAAACATGCCCATGTCTTCCCCGCCCTGAGAGCTCGCACGTGGTCCCTCCATTCCTGCTCGCTGTGGTTCTGCGTCTTCCCTCCCTGTGGTGGCCGTCTCCAAGAGCCGCCTCCGCCTCCTCTGCTCTGCCTCTCCTAGTTCTCTTCAGCCTGGCTTCTGACATCGTCATTCAACTGCAGCTGCTCTCCCAAAGTTATTAGTGTCTTAGCGGCCTTTTCTCAGTTCTCGTCCTCTTTGCAGCCTTGACGCCATTCATGTTATTGATGAGTCCCAAACAGTCCTTCTTAGCATTCTCTGCCTTCTTCTCTGCAAGTCTGTCACTGCGGCTGCTGGGGTGGGATGGGACCCTGTGGACGGGAGGGGGCACATGCTGCATCTTTCTTTGTTTTTGGGCTTGTCATGGCCAAAGAATGCGTCACCTAGTGGTCAGCAGTCATGAGCCTTTCCAAACTGAGCCAGGCTCCTTCCTGAAAGGCAGACATCATTTGGGTAACCCTCCCCCACCCTGGGCGTCTGGTACTTACACATTCAAGGCACAGCCTTCAAGAGCCCAGGGCCACTTTTCTACCGCAGTGGGGTGTCAGAGGGAGATTTTTGTTGAGGATGAATCTCTGCCCTACTCTCCTCTCCCTTCCTCTTCCCTCCTTTCTTCTCCCCTCCCCTCCTCTCTTCTCCCTTCTCCTCCCCTCCCCTCCTCTCTTCTCCCTTCTCCTCCCTTTCCCTCCCCTCCCATCCTCTCCCCTCCTCTCCTCCTGTCCTTTCCCTCCCCACCTCTCCTCTCCTCCCCTCCCTTCCCATTTTCTCCTCTCCCCTGCTCTCCTCTCCCCTCTCCTCCCTCTCTTCCTCCCCTCCCCTCCCCTCTTCCCCTCTCCTCCCCTCCCTTCCCATTCCCTCCTCTCCCCTCCTGTCCTCTCCCTCCCTCCCCTCCCCACCCCTCCTCTCCTCCCCTTCCTTCCCATTCTCTCCTCTCCCCTTCTCCCTTTCCTCCCCTCCTCTTACCTCCTTTCCCTTCCCTTCTCCTCCCCTCCCTTCCCTCCCCTCTCCTCCCCTCCTCCCTCCCTGCCCTCCCCACCCCTCCTCTCCTCCCTCCCTTCCCATTCCTCCTCTCCCCTCCCTCCCCTCCCCTGCCCTCCTCTCCTCTCTGCATATGTGCATGGGCATATCTGTGTATGTTGATCTGTGTATTTCACCCGTCACCAGTATGCCATTTGAGGGGAGTGCCTTCATATGGGGTGGCATTTTGTGAACCTCTCTGGGAGGGTGGGCTGCTGTGCCCTGGTAGTTAGTTGAAATGGCAGCAGACTTTGTGAGCTCGGTGCCGGTCACTGTCCTTGTCCTAAAGCCAAGCTCTCTGTCTCTCTAGAGAAGGCTTTTTAAAGCATGGTGTCATCCTTGCGCTCTCCCAGATTCTGGACGACCCCGTGTTGCTGTGCCGCAGATTCTTGCACCAGACCTTCAAGAACGTGGCCCAGGTGCCCACAGGTAGGACCGTGTTGCTTTGGAGACTGCCCACGTTCTTGACATTTGCTCTCTTCGGTAGCACGGGCTGTGCTCTCTAAAAACTGCCCAGAAGGAAGCCCCTACCTGGAGCAGCTTCAGGGCTACTTCCTGAAGCCGTCTGAGGTTCCCTCTCGGCTGTTACTTACGCAGATGTCCATGGGAGAAGCTGAATCGGGGTTGCACAGCCTCTGGTTCACATTGGCTGCTCTGTTCCTCCTTCCTGCTGGGCCCCATCTTCCTGCCTTCAAGGCTGAACTCTGAGAGGGCCTCCTCCAGGATGTCTTCCTTGCCCTAGGAGACTCTCCAGGTGAAGGAGATCTCTCCTTTCTGTGTCATCTGATGCTTCGCTATGATCACATTCCTCCCTGGTTTCATACTTATTTGTAGGCATATCGCTCCCCTCCTTCAGCCCTCAACTAGAATGGGAGCCCCTTGTGGGCAGGGCCTGGCATGCAGCAGGTGTTTAATAAATGATAACTCGAAGGTGCTTGGTCTGCCTGTCTTCTAAGATATGATGCAGTGAGATAACCCCTTCAGGCAGGCCAAGGAGCCTCACTCCTTGGAGGAGTGCACTCGCAGTACCTCGGAGAGGGGATGAGGCCTCCCATTGGGCTGCTGGCTGGGGGAGGAGGTTTGGGAGAGATGCAGCCAGAGCAGACTTGACCACACGTGGTAACAGAGGGAAGGGTCGAGGATGACTGAGCTTGTGACTTGGGGGCCCATGAGAGAGAAGGACAGCTTGGGGGAGGGGCAGGTTTTGGCCGCTCTACTTAGAGGTGCCCTGGGGACTTCAGGTGCGGATGTCTGCCAGGAGGCAGTTAGGCCCCGGGTCTAGAGCTGGGGAGGCATGGCCAACGGTGTTGAGGTCTATCAAGGGAGAGGTCAAGAAAGTGGAAGGTGAAGGAAAGAGCTTTGGATTCAGCTATTAAGAAAGTCTGGAGGGAGCATCTCAGGGGAGTGGGGAAGCCAGACTCTGGGCAGACTGGAGAAGTGAGGGGGAGTTCATTCAATGGCCACATTCTCTAGGAGTTTGGCTGTGAAAGGGAGGAGAGGTAGGGGCCAGCCACTCACTTGTCCTCTCTGTAAGCAAGGGAATCCAGGCTTCAGTTATTTAATACGTACTGTGTACAAGGTCTTGAGATCAGAGGTGAAGGAGGGAGGGCATGAAGGGGTGTGCTTCTGGAGGTGGTGGCAGTGGGGCAGACCTGGCAAAGAGGAAGGGGTGGGGGAGCTAAGTGGGCGAGAACTCCCAATGGAATCTGCCTTCTCAGGATAGAATAGGGACCAGGGGCACCTCTGGCTGTGAAGGTGGTGTCGGAAGCCTGAGAGGACACTCAAGAAGGGCAGTTCCCTGTCCAGGGTCTCCCCCCAGTCATGAGGCAAAGTCATAAGTGAAACATTGCCTCTTCTCTGCCAGTGGAATTCCTGATCTCCCCCCCCCAAACCCTTTCTTTGGCTGAATTTCCCTATTACTGTGGAGGGTTCCACTCTCCTCCTAGGCTCCCAGACTCACACCCTAGGAGTCATCCTGGATTCCTCATTATCTCTCACCCCCTCCCCCAGTGTCCAAGCTGGTGCCAAGGCCTGCAGAATCTCTCGAGTATGCCCCCTTCTCTCCTCGGACACTGAGACCTTCTTGGTGTAGGTCTTCATCACCTCACATCTGGACTGTTGCCATAGACTATGAGGGGGCTTGACTGGCCTCAAGTCTCTTCCCACTCTTCAGTCACTAATGTGATTTTCCTAAAATGCAGATGTGACCATGTCTCACTGCCCTCTGCCCCCCTCGCTCAGTGGCTCCCTGTCTCCTGCAGGAGCAAATACAAAATGCTGTTTGGCATTCAAAGCCCTTCATACCCTGGCCCCCTCCTCCCTTTCCAGACTTCTTATACCTTAGTCCAGAGACACTGGCCTCCGGGCTGCTCCTTACCCAGGATACTTCAAGAAACGTATTTCTAATAGATGCTCGGTGACTGACAGATGTACATGTGTCCATGAAGACAAAACATAGAAAATAAAGACAAGGTAACTTAGCAGAGAGTGCCCAGAGAGTGCGGTGGCCCTGGGCGTGTCAGAGGCTGGCCGTCTCGGTGTCCAGCAGCGACGGCCCGTGCCTTCTCTCTGGCGGGAATGGACATTGTATGGACCGGAGCAGAACCCTGTTGTTTTTGAGCAGAATGTCATGAGCGTGAAAACCCCAGGGCCCAAGTGGTGCTTTGAATTTCTAATACTCAGGGAGGCTTTTCTTTTTTTTTAGTTCAAGGGCAGGAAAGGGGAGGAGGGGCAGTCTTCCAGGCAGGGGAGACTACCAGTACAAAGCCTAGGAGGTGAGAGGTGGAATGACAAGTAGGCCAGTGTGCCTGTGTCCTAGAAGGGAGTAAAATATAAGAAAACGGGAAAGGTGAAAATGGGCCCCGGGGGCAAGGGCCTCAGTGATCCACTGAAGGCTTTCTGTTTAATCTCAGAGGTGGGAGGGAGCTTCTGGACTCCATTCAGTGGGGGTGGCAGGGACTGACACGGTCAGGCCGGCTTGGGGATCATCACAGGTGGGAGGTGATGAGGGCCTGGATTTGGGGGGGTGGCTTTTGAGTGGAGAGATAGATGGGATGGCAGAAATGGCGAAACAAGATTTAGCAGCGGATTAGATGTGGAGGGGGAGGGGGAGAGACTGACTTCGGGCCTAGGTTGGGAGCCTGGGTGCCTGGTTCTTGCTTTAGTGAGAAGATGGGCTTCCTCTTTACCGCAGGCTGGATAGAAGGAGAGAATGTGGCTCAGGCCAAGGGGTGTTAGAGGTGAAGAGGACATAGGAGGGAGCTGGCTGCCAGTGGGCTCTTTTCTCCTTGAAGGAGGAGATGAGATCCTCTGAGAGGCTTGGTCGTTTTGGCTTGAGGACAGAAGGGTTGGGAGCTGCCACCCTGCACTAAAGATGGGGGGCGGCTTCCATGGTGTGGGCAAGGCAGCCGGCCGAGGGGTGGCGGGTCTGGAGCTGAGGTGCTCCACTTGGAGATCCGTGTTGGAGCAGGAGCCAGGTCCCCCCAGGTGAGGGGGCGGCCAGCTCTGCGTCTGCTGCCCTTGGGTTTTGGGCGGTACACTTGGTCCTCTGAACTTGCATCAGCTGGAGAGCTCCTGCTGCTCACGCTGCCCAGCCTCTCTCTCCCTTGTTGCGCTGCTTGGCAGTGGCTGCCACAATCTGGGGGCGTGCGTTAGAGGAGGCTAACGCCCGTGTTTATCTAAACCTTGTATCTCTCCCCCTGTGTCCTGGACACAGCTGCTGCTTTCTGTATTAAGTGCCTGAATACCTCATTTTGTCCAGGGTAGGGACTTAGTCGCATTCTATTCCTCCCTGACATGTCCACTCTCTTTCTTGGGCCTAGCTTTACAGGGCACGGTCAGTTTGACCAGCAGGTGGTGCCTAGGCACTGCCATTTCTGGGGAGGCTCCTTCTGACTTCCCCTCCCTTGCCCTACCTGCATCCTCTTCTCTTCCTGCCTCTGAATCGTTCTCTGAGCCTCCTCTGGGAGCGCTGGCAGGGCCTGGCAGGCCTCCCTGCACCTTCCTAGGTGATGGCAGGAGGCGTAGTCCCTGAGCACCTCGCCCCCTCCTGGCTTGGGGCAGGTGGGAGCGCCGGATTGGGAGCCAGGAACCCTTCGATCCCCCTCCTGGGAGCTCAGGGACTGCTGGGGAACATCCTTGTCCTCTCACCCAGGCCTTTTGTGAGGAAAGTGCTTCGCAAACCATCAAGCTTTCTAGAGAAGGGATCCCTCCTTTTGCTGCCCACATGTGATGACCATTGCCTAAGCACAGTGAGAAGATCCTAGAACATAAGAGCTGGCATGAGCCTCATCGGAAGCTGCCCTTTTATGTACCAGTCACCAGGCTAAGGCTGGACGGAATGGGGCTAGCTGGTGCCCAGTAGGGCAGCTAGAGGGGGCCTCAAGCAAGCAAGTCAGAAACATTTAATTGAATGACTTCTATGTGCCAAGCATTGTGCTAAGGGCTGGGAATAGGAAAAGAAGCAAAAGACAGTCCCTGTCCTTAAGGAGCTTAACATCGAACGGTGAGACAGTGCAAGCCAACACGTACAAAGCAAGTTGTAGGCGGGATAAATGGGAAATAATCAGCAGAGGAAAGGCCCTGGAATTCAGGGAGGCAGGGGAAGGCTTGCTGCGGAAGGGACCTAAAGGAAGCCAGGGAGGTAAGTGGTTGGAGTAGAGAGGCAGAGCCTTGCAGTCATGGAGGATGCCAGAGAAAACACCCAGAGCTGGGAGAAGGAGGGTTTTGTTCACGCAGCAGGTAGGAGGCCAGTGTCACTGGACTGAAGAGCATGAAGAGTACTGGGGAGTAAGGTGGGGGGAGGAGCTAGGTGACAAAAGGCTTTGAATGTCAAACAGAACATCTTGTATTAGATCCTGGAGGCCATAGGAAAGCACTGGAATTAATAGAGTTGGGGTGGTGACATGATCAGACCTGAGCTTTAGGAAAATTACTTTAGTGGCTGCATGGAGGGAGGATGGTCTGGAGTGGGGAGAGACTGGAGGCAAGCAGGAGCCCTCGCCAACCTTCTCACCCCAGCCTTGTCCAGGGCTACTGCAGTAGTCCAGGTGTGAGGAGATGGGGGCAGGGTCAGAGGAGAGAAAAGGGCATATTGGAGAGATGTTGCAAATGTGAAATTGTCAGGCATTGGCACCGGGTTGGATAAGGGGGGTGAGAGAGAGTGAGGTGTCCAGGATGACTCATTCCTAGGGTGTGAGCCTGAGAGGCTGGGAGGATGCCCTCCTCAGTAGTAGGGAAAGTAGCAAGGGAAGAGCTCTGTTTTCAGCATTTAAGTTCGAAAAATGAGCTCAATATGTTTACTAGACATTCACTTCAAGATGTATGAAGGGCAGTTGGTATGAGATTGTAAGTCAGTGGAGAGTTTGGGGCAGGAAAAGTAGATTTGAGAATCATCAGCATAGAGATGGTTAATTATGGAAATTAAATCT